TAGACAGTTTTCTAATTTTTTTTTTTGAGACAGGGTCTTGCTCTATTGCCCAGGCTGAAGTGGTGCAATCATAGCTCACTGTAACCTCGAACTCCTGGGCTCAAGTGATCCTCCTGCCTCATCCTTCAAAGTAGCTGGAACTACAGGCATGTACTATCACACTTGGTTAAGTTTTTTGGTTTTGTTTTTTAATTTTTTTGTAGAGACAGCGTCTTGTGATGTTTCCCAGGCTGATCTCAAACTCCTGGTTTAAGCAATCCTCCTGCCTCAGCCTCCCAAAGAGCTGAGGTTACAGTAGTGAGCCAACATGCTCAGCCTTATTTTTCTTCATTGCACTTGGTCATGGGGATTTTATTATCTGTTGGCTTTTTCACTCGTCTGTCTCCTCCCACAATAACATAATTCCATGAAATCAGAGATCTTGTTTTCTTGTTTACCACTGAATCCTCAGTCCCTAAACAGTGCCAAGAACATTCTACTTGTGTAACAAATACTTGCTGAGTGAATAAATGGTGTATGGAGCTAAGCACAGCAACACTACCAGGAAACTCACCGAAACTGGGTCTCCTTCGCCAAAGCCAGAATAGCTGTGGCCCCTCCAAATGAATGTCCCATCACAGCCACACGGCTTAGGTCAATGTTGCCCTGTGGAGAGCGGAGAACTTAGCCAAGTCAGAAACTCAGGACTGCTCTTTAGCAATTCATCAGGAGCAAGGGGAAGAAATAGTGAGGTGATGAGGCCAAAGGCACAATACAGCGAGTGCGCCCACCAACATCACACTATCAAGAATCTCTTGCCTGTGGAAGGGGCACCAGTCAAGCAGTCCCTGGACTGAACAGCTTTGTGTAGGCAGGAATTGTGAAAACTGTACTTTCCATGTTTACTTTTGTAATCTCACTACTTAACAATAGCGGATCAGGGTAGACATTCAAATATCTATGAATAGGCTAGGCACGGTGGCTCATGCCTGTAATCCCAACACTCTGGGAGGCTCAGGCAGGTGGACTGCTTGAACTTAGGAATTTGAGACCAGCCAGGGCTCAAACATGACAAAACCTTGTCTCTACAAAAAAATACAAAAATTAGCTGTATGTGGTGGTGTGCATGTATGGTCCCAGCTACTGAGGAGGCTGAGGCGAGAGGATCGCTTGAGCCCAGGAGGTCGAGGCTGCAGTGAGTAATGATTTCACCACTGCATTCCAGCCTGGGTGACAGAGCGAGACCCTGTCTCCAAAAAAAAAAAAAAAAAAAAAAACGAATTAAAAAAAAAAAAAAAAAAAAAAAAAATCTATGAAGAAATACTGACCGGTTGGTCTATGAGCATGATGCTAACAATCAGAGCCGTCTCCATCCTCTAGAATCCCTGCCTTACACACTGGTCGGAGGTCCATGACGCATGGACTGAGCTGAGGGTGGAACGGGGATGCTCCTGCTGCCTGTCCATTGTGCTCTGGAGCAAAGACTGCTTGTGCAGAAACCAGTGCAGGTTCTACATCCTCTTTGGATATCTGTTGTGATTTTTATCCAAAGCCAAGGGGAAGAGTGAGTCTGTGCACTCTAATATGCTTTGCATGTATCTATTTCTGGTTATACTCAGAAGCCTTCAGGGTATGGTTATATAAAAAGCTATTGCAGCTGCCTGCTAAGGGGCTCAGGAGGCCTCTCCAGGCTCTGCGGCCCAGCCTCTGCTCTGAACTTCTGCTCTGCTCTCCCCACTGTCTATTCCAAGGCTTTGTACCTAAATCTTCCCCCTTAACTCAGTACCCTCAGATCAACAACTTGGTTGGATGGCCTCTTTGGCATTTAAAAAAAAACAGGTAAATATATTCATATACCTCTAAAATCAGAGGTATACAAAAAGTCTCCTATCTACTCCGTTTTTTTCCACATGATTGCCCACCACCTACTTCCAAACAGGTAGCAGTTTCTTATGTGTCCCTGAAGAGATTGCTTATATTCATAAGTCAACATGAATATATACTTTCCCTCTTTTCATACACGTGGTGCTGTATCTTTTTGTACATAACAACATTAGTACATAAAGAGCTTCCTCATCCTTGTTCACAGCTGCATTTGACTTGGCCATGGTATAGACAGCTAGCTGATCACCAAATCTTTTCCTCTTCTTCCTGGTCTCACAGCTAAACTATTTCCCGGCAGTTAGGTAAGATCTTGTGACTGTTCTAGCCAATAGAATGTGAACAAAAGTAGTATCTCAATTTCCATGCCTGGTCCATAAACTGTCTCATACAAACCTCTATGCCCTTTCCCATTCTGTTGGCTTAATGCAAACAACAAATTTCGGATTCACAAATTTTGTGAGGTTAAAGACATAAAAGAGATTATAAAAGAAGCCTGGATCCCTGAGTTGCCTCTTATATAGGAGCACCCATATTAAACTTCATGTAGGAGAGAAATATATTTCTACTGTGTTAAGCCACTGAAATATGGGGTTTACACACTAGCAATTACCATTCACCAAGCAAATACATCCACTGTCCCATAATTAAACCAGTTCCCTCACTGGTGAGTGTTTAGGTTACTATCAAACTTTTGCTATAACAAACAACACTGGAATGAATAACACTGTCCATCTATCATGCTGCATGTGTGCAGGTATTTATTTGTAGGATAAATTCCCAAACTGGAAATTACTGGGTCAAAGAAACATATGCATCTATACTGTTGATGATACCAATTGCCAAATGCCCTCCATGGGATGATTTGTATTCTCACCAGCAATGCAGAGAATATCTACTTCCCCACAACTTTGTTAACAGAGTAATCAGTGTTTAGATCTCACTCAATAGATGAAAATGTATTTAGCTTTTTTTAATGCTGTATTTCCCCTAAAAGGCTGCCCTCTTAACTAATCTAACTGAACTATAGCCTGGCATTTCCCAAAGCCTTTTTTTATTTTGAGATATAGTCTCCCTTTGTCACTCAGGCTGGAATGCAGCAGCACAATCTTGGCTCACTGCAACCTCTGCCTCCTAGGCTCAAGCTCAAGCGGTTCTCCTGCTTCAGCTTCTGAGTAGCTGAACTATAGGCGCACGTCATTACGCCCAGCTAAATTTTGTATTTTTAGTAGAGAAGGGGTTTTGCCATGTTGGCCAGGCTGGTATCAAACTCCTGGGCTCAAGTGATCCACCCCACTCAGCCTCCCAAAAGGCTGAAATTACAGGCATGCGCCTGGCTTCCCAGTGCCTTTTTCAGGCTCACTCACAGGCATGCAGGGCTAGACCTCAGTGCCCAGGGCCCCTCCAACTCTCACTTTACCAACACTGTAGCTGGCAAAGCACTCTAGATTCCAGGGTCTGCCTTACCTATTGGGTATGCAGGCAGATGCTTCTCCTGGAGAATATTACCAAAGCCTTTAAAATATATGTTATGAAGAGGCTTTGGGGCACACAGCACAAGCTGTGGAATCAAAATGCCCCAATTTCATGTGTGACTCTACCACTTACTTAGCTGGGTAATCTTGGGTACTTAGTCTTTTTGATCCTTGGTTTCTTTCTTTTTTTTTTTTTTTTNTTGAACTCCTGACCTCAGGTGATCCGCCTGCGTTGGCCTCCAAAGTGCTTGGATTACAGGCGTGAGCCACCGTGCCCGGCCGATCCTTGGTTTCTTTCTATGTAAAGAGATAAGAATGCTTACTGCATTAAGTTTGTGGGAGGAGCTCTTAAAATAGCAAGTCTCGGCCAGGCGCGGTGGTGGCTCATGCTTGTAATTTCAGCACTTTGAGAGGCCACGGTGGGCAGATCACCGGAGGTCAGGAGTTCGAGACCCGCCTGACCAACATGGAGAAACCCTGTCTCTAAAAATACAAAATTAGCCAGGTGTGGTGGTGCATGCCTGTAATCCCAGCTACTTGGGAGGCTGAGGCAGGAGAACCACTTGCACTGGGGAGGCGGAGGTTGTGGTGAGCTGAGATCATGCCATTGCTCTCCGGCCTGGGCAAAAAGAGTGACACTTGGTCTCAAAAAAACAAAAACAAAAAAAACCAAGTCTCATAAAGCAGTAATTGTAAATATACATGTACGTATTATATATGCATTATACACACATACACACACCATTCTTATTAATATAATATAATATGGCATAGCTATTAAATATGATGCAGTTGGGTGCAGTGGCTCATACCTATAATCCCAACACTTTGTGAGGCCAAGGCGGGTGGATTGCCTGAGCCCAGGAGTTTGAGACCAGCCTGGGCAACACGGTGAAACCCCATCTTTACAAAATACAAAAAATTAGCTGGCATGCAAAAAATTGCACACACCTAGAGTCCCAGCCACTTGGGAGGCTGTGGTGGCTACAGTGAGTGGTGATCACACCACTGTATTCCAGCCTGGCTGACAGAGTGAGGCCCTGTCTCACAAAAATAAACAAAAATAAATAATAAAATTCATGCTACACAGGAGGATTGCTTAAGCCTAGAGTTTGAGCCTAGCCTGGACAGACAGCAAGACACTGTCTCTAAAAAATTTTTTTTAAATCATACCATAAAAAATATTAATCAGGTGGGCGTGGTGGCTCACGCCTGTAATCCCAGCACTTTGGGAGGCCGAGGTGGGTGGACCAAGAGGTCAAAAGATCGAGACCATCCTGGCCAACTTGGTGAGATCCCGTCTCTACTAAAAATGCAAAAAATTAGCTGGGCATGGTGGTGCGCACCTATAGTCCCAGCTACTCGGAAGGCTAAGGCACGAGAATCACTTGAACCCGGGAGGCAGAGGTTGCAGTGAGTTCAGATCATACCACTGCACTCCAGCCTGGCAACAGAGTAAGACTCCATCTCAAAAAAANAAAAAAAAAAAAAAAAAAAGAAAAAAAGAAAAATATTAATTGGCATAAGAAAGAAGATACTCATACTGTTTTGCTAAATGAAAATAAGGGCACAAAACAGCTTGTATTAAATGATAACATAATTGTGTAAAAAAATACACACATTAATACATTTAAAAATAATTGGAAGGACAAATATAAAAATATTGAAAAAGGTTGTTTCATTTTTCTTCATGTTTTTGTGTGATTTCTTGGTTCTCTGAATACAGCCTGAATGACTTTTGAAATTATGGAGAAAAAAGATTGGGTGGGGGTGGGGCATGAAGAATGTACCTTCATAAGCACAAAATTCCATGTCCAGGATGGTTTCATACCCTCCTGGGAGGGTCTGTGGGATTCCCTCAAAGGGAGGACTGAACCTGCAATGGACACCGGTTGTTTGCTGCTCAGTAGCCTGAACCCTCTCCCTGCTATCCACCTGGTCCTGTGGTGGTCAATCACCTGACCCAGAAGTGGGACTGTAACTTAGGCAGGCCAATCTGAACACCTTCTCCCTCTGACACAGGGACTGGTGCAGAGGGGCATGGGACCCATATGGTGTCACAGCTTTCCCAGATTAGTGGAAGCTAAGACAGTCTCTTTTCTTTTTAAACCTGGAGCTGTAAATTGATACACAGGCTTCAACTGCTAGCAACCATCTTTCTTGCCTAAAGGACAGAGTCTGGTGAGAAACCCACATATACACAGAGAAACTGAGGCAGGAGAGGGGAGAGAAGAGTGCGAAGGCTTTGATGATAATGTCCGAGACACTGGGGCTAACTACACTGGCCTCAAGTTGGCCTTTGGTCTTCTTGGTAGTTATATGATCCAATCAATTCTCTTTCGGTTTACACTACTTAGTTAGGTTTCTATTACTTGTAACCAAGAAAGCCCTGAATACTGGGCTCTAGGTCATACCAATTGCTTCCATACCTTCAAAGTCATCAGATCCAAGCCACCAGGCAAGATGTTAAAGACAGCCTGCCCAGCAGTGACCTCTTGCAGGATCTTCAACACCCGTAAACACTCGCTTACCCGCTGATGCACCTGCAACAGAGACAGTCCCAGTGGGAACTGGAACACTCCACAACCGTCCAGCGAAAATCTCACTCAGGTACAGAGCCAAGGAAGAATGCATAGGAGTTTGCCCACCCACACCTTAGCAAGTACCTTGGGTGCCACGTCCTGAGAAAGGCTCAGCTACCTGGCAGCTCACATAAGCACTGCCTAACAACATAACATACTCAGCCCTGTTGTTCCAACTCCACCTACCTAACTATAGGGCTGTCAGAAGGATCCAATGAGATGATGTATATGAAAGCATTTTAAAAACAAAAGGAATTAAGAACGCTGTTATTAGCAATCTAGTACAGGATTCCACTTGTCCATTCACACCACACATCTATTGTTTTTGTCTCCCAAGCACTTACCCCCCTTCCTTCTTTTGTTAACCCTGCCCTTTGAGGACACCCTTCCCACTCCCATTCTAACAATGCATTTCTGATTGGAAGGTCTCATTTTGTTACTTCTCCCCAGGCCTGGAATCCCTCTCCAGGATTTTTCAAACTGCAGTTTTGCACCAAGGTAGGGGACTGAGGGAGCAACTCAAACACAGCCCTGTTCTCATAGATGACATGAACACACACAAGCTCAGAGCTGTCAAGAGCTGTGGTTCTGACGGGGTGCCATGGCTCACACCTGTAACCCCAGCATTTTGGGAGGCCACAGTGAGAGGATTGCTTGAGCTCAAGAGTCTTGAGACCAGCCTGTGCAACATAGCAAGACCCCATCTCTGCTAAAAAAAAAAGTTGTGTGGTGGTGTGTGTCTGTAGTCCCAGCTACTCAGGAGGATGAGGTGGGAGAATCACTTGAGCCTAGGAGGTTGAGGTTGCTGTGAGCCATGTTGGTGCCACTGCATTCTAGCCTGGGTGACAGAGTGAGACTCTGTCTCAAAAAAAAATAAAATAAAATAAAGTAGCTGGGCATAGTGGTGCATGCCTGTAGTCTCAGCTACTAGGGACGCTGAGGTAGGAAGAGCTCGTGAGCCCAGGAGATTGAGACTGCAGTGAGCCATGATCATGCCACTGCACTCCAGCAGCTTGGGTGACAGAGCCAGACTTGTCTCAGAAAAAAAAAAACAAAAACAAACAAACAAAAAAACCCCATGGTTCTAACCTTAGAAAGTAAGCCAGTTTGAAGATGAGACCCACCAACCAAAGGGATCAAAAGAAATGAGGATGAAGAACAAACCCTGATGGCATTTGAATCTGGTTCCAATTGTTCTGCTCTTCCTATAGTCTACCTATATGAGCTATCAATTTCCTTTTTTGCCTAAGTAAGTCTTAGATTTCTGTCACAGCAGTTGCAGGAGTCCTGATTAATATCCTATGTATTTCCATTGATGTGGCAAACTCAGACCCACTATGACTGAGATTTCAAGAGAGGGTTAACTAAAAGTCTTGCTATCAAATACAATAGACAGAGGGCAGGCTCACTAACTCTCCCTCCCCAACTGGCACAAACTTACCTGGGGATTCCGAATACGAAATTCCTTCTCCCCTTCCTCAACTCGACGGAAAGGGATCCACTCCTCCTCCAGCGATTCACTGGTGGGCTGGTTCTCTTCTGGGGCCTGCTTGCAGAAATAGGTGGTTGCTGCTGACCGGTCCCTGAAATACACACATTATCAGAGAGAAACCAGAAAACATTCTTGAGTTTATTTTCCCCTTTACCAACTCCTCCCTTTCATCCAAGAGCCTCTATATATCACCCTTTGGCTAGCAGGGAAGGAAATCTGGGAGACAAATAGGAAAGTGGAAAAAATATAGATTTTAGAGACAGAATTGGGTTTGAATTTCAACTCGGTGTGTCACTTTTGGGAAATTATTTAACATCTTTGAACCTTGGTTTTCTCTTCTTGAAAAGGTGTATAATCCTGGCTTGCATGGTTGTCAAGAGGATTAGAAATAGTACATTGATAGGGGACTAGTCTATATCTTAGCTCACTGTAGGCACCCAATCCATGGTGGCTCATCCCTCACCTGTGCTCTGGCACAGCAACCACAAAGCCACGTGAGGCCAGCTCCATGCAGAAGGCTGAATACAAAGTCCTGGAGATTCAAAAAGGAACAAGGAAAAGGGATCAAAAGAACAGCCCAGTCTTCACCCTCATTCCAAACATGCTCTGCTAGCAGCCATCTTGTGGAACTACCACATCAACCTTAACTGTCTACCTCTGGCTTCCTTTCACTTGGGAGAGAAATAAACATTGCTATATTGAAGTCACATTATTTGGGGGTTTTCTGTTAAATACAACTTGCCCAATTTCTAACTGATACAGGGAGGTCAGGTTCTTAAGTTCCTTTTTACTTTCTCCCACTTTTCCAGGGAAGGCAGTGAACTGGACTTTAGAGCCAGAGAGATTTCCAAACCCTTCCCAGTTCAAACTGTGTAACTTTGGGCAAGTCTGCCTTCCAGAGTCTGTCTGCCCAGCTGAAAAATGGGCATCCCTGCCTGTCCACCTCACAGGGCTATGTGGGAACCAAATGAGACGATGGTACACTGAGAATGGTTAGGTATTTAACTGCACATATTCCTCCCTAGGATAGGAAACCATAGGGCCATGACCCATGGGAAGGATTTCAGAGCCTGAATTAACCACAGATGCAATGAGGGTAAACAATGTCCCTTATCCTCCCTTCCTTTTTCCTTGGAATTTCACTCTGGTTAATGAAGAATATTTATAACTGACTTGCCCAAGTCTAATGAAGTGCGAAGTCTCAATACAGACTCTTAGACCAAAAGGACCACCTCCAAAGTCATGTGCTCACCTGCTCTCTCCATAAATACCTGTTGGCCTAGGAGGAAAATGTTTCTTTGCTTCTTTTCCCTGCTAGACTATAATCTTCCCGAAGGCAGGAACTCTCTCTTCTTCACTACTGAATGCCCAGCCCTGGCACACAGCAGGTACTCAATTTATTGAACAAGAAACAGCACAAGGCCAGGTGCAGTGGCTCATGCCTATAATCCCAGCACTTTGGGAGGCCGAGGTGGGCGGATCACCTGAGGTCGGGAGTTCGCCACCCAGCTACTCAGGAGGCTGATGCAGGAGAACAGCCTGAACTCAGGAGGTGGAGGTTGCAGAGCTGAGATCATGCCATTGCACTCCAGCCTGGGCATCAAGAGCGAAACTCCGTCTCAAAAAAAAAAAAGTGAGGTTTCATTTATTAACTCTTATATTCTCTAGATGATCTTAATGAATTTATTCATGATCAATAATTTTCCCATAGGCTCTCAAAAAAAAAAAAAAAAAGAAAACAGCATCAAAAACCATCTAACTGCCTCTCTAACCTTATCTCCATGTTTACTCTTCACTTCCTGCCGTGGGCTACAGTTACGAGAGTCTATGTTCCTGCTCCTCTAGCAGATGCGACTTCCTTGATTTGTTAATCTTGGTATGTCCCACCTTCCTCTCATGCCAAAGGGCTGGCACAGAACAGGTGCTCCACAGATGTCTGCTGAATGAATGAGAACCTAGCGCACACACAGCCCTTGTATTCATTCAATAAATACTTATTGGTAAACAACTACTTTCCAGGCACTGTCCTAGGTACTGGAGCAATAGAAGACAGATGTGGTCTCTGCCTTCAAGAGCTTACAATACAGTGAAGAAGACAGGCATTACAGAATAATTATACGAGTAATTTATTTATTACAATTATGTTAAATGCTGAGAAGTATAGATTGTCTTATGAAAGCACATTCTGGAAAAATTAATATAATAGGTTAATTGTCAGGATGGGTGTCCCTAGGACAATGACATCCAAACTAAGATCTTGAAGGTCAACCGAAATTAGGAGGAAAAGAGGAAGAGGGGGAAGAGGAAGAGAAGGGTAGAATGGTTAGTAGTCCAGGCAAAAAAAACCAATTTGTCTGGAGAGCTACGGTGGGGCAAATAGCAAGGAATGAGCCTGGAAACTTTGTCTTGGACCTGAATCAAGGTAAGACCATGAGAAGAACTGAATTAAGTTCAAAGACCTGTTAAAAACTTTAAGTAAGGGCCGGGCGTGGTGGCTCACGCCTGTAATCCCAGCACTTTGGGAGGCCGAGGTGGGTGGATCACGAGGTCAAGAGATCGAGACCATCCTGGTCAACATAGTGAAACCCCGTCTCTACTAAAAATACAAAA